GTTCCAGTTGCTGGTAACGGAGCATCATCTGATTCCTGAGAGCTGACGACGGAAGGGATTGTGATGGCATCTGAAAGCATACTCCGCTGGAAGTCCTATCCTATTCACAAGTCTGTTTATGTGACAGGAGAATCGTAATTCGCCGCGCAGTGGGCGTCGCGTGCGACGTCGCGCCCGCTAATGACGACGATTTTAGGTGGTATTGGTCGAGAATAGACAATGTATGACCAAAAATAGACATAAGTGTCTACCATGTCCTTGTCTACATGAAATCCGATGCTCCAATCGAAAGGGTAGTGCAAAACTGAAACGTCGCGCCCATTGTCGCGCGCGACGAAGCGGCAATTTATGGTTCTCTTGTCCATCTCCCCACAATCACTTGAAACTCACCTGCATCGGAGCTTCGGTCCTTTCGCATTTTTTCTCGCTCGCCTCTTTTGTAACAGTGACATCTTCGCTTTTTCCACCATCGACCTTTGGCTCTTCTTCTGCACCAGCCGGAGTTGAACTCAAGTCCTCGGAGGGGTCTGAAAGAATCAGCTGACTAGTTTTGCTATCAATAGAGCACCCACCAAATGGGTCTCAATGCGGAGAAACGCCCTGTGAGTAAACTTGATGGGATTAGCCCGATTCTCTCCCATCAAAAAGGTGTGCGAACACAGCTGTCAAACAGCAACAGCAAAGGTAGTAAAAGGAAAAGGGGGGGGGGAAGAAGGGGATCAAGCCAGGCTCTTTACTCTCTATGGCTAACCATAAGACAGGTGGCAGGGAATCGCACCATTTCTTCAGGATGGTGCGAGACTAGCAGAAGGAGGGCGTAGCCTAGACTCGCACCAGACTGGCTCCCACTGTAAATCATTGTGGGGTCCACACTGTGAGGGAGGTCATACTTAGCCCCGGGGTAGAGCAGGGAGGGCGGTGTTGCAGTAGGGAGACATTTCCCTCATTTGATAATGTACATGCTGTCGTTATGGGGTCCACACTGTGGGGGAGGCCCCCCCCCCCCCCCCTTCCCAGCTATATTTTCTCCACCTTCATTTTGCGCAGTTTTTCGGTTTCTGTGAAAAAATGGAAAGAAAGGCCCAAATTAAGAGCACTCGAAGTTCTGTATGTCACGGCGATGTCACCGCTGTCATTTCAAACAAAATCGAAACTAACCATACCTTTATGTTGCCTGCTTATTTGATGAGTTGAAGCAAGCAGGCGATCGATTACGGATGCCTCCATCAGTGATGTTGACTGTTCGCAATCACCTAAAATCTGGATTTTTGAGGAGAATCAAAAGCGGGGAGCAGCACCTAACCCACCATCGTCCAGTTCCGTCTTCACATTGCCCAATGAGAGACCGTCAACGCAGTTGGAGTAGCCATCACTGTTGTCACCGTAACCGTCACATGCCGATAGGACGCTAGAATCGATCTTATTGGTGCAGGAGCTGTTTTAGCTACAGTCTACGATAGTCACATGGGCGGGAGCGAGGCCTACCCGTGCGCCCTCCTAACGAGCTCCTCCTTCTTCTTGGAAATGAAAGCACATCAATAAGAAATGAGCAGTGGTGGACCTCACTCCATAGAATCATCGAGGGCTCTGCCTCCAGAAGACGGGGCCCAATTCAGCAGGCTAAAGGCACTTACAGGTTGTCCTTCAGGTAGGGATCAAGCCACGACAAATGCGAGAAATAGCACCATCGAATAGGTGTCACAAAATTGTGCTTATTGCTGTCTTGAGCTCCTTCCGATAGCGATCCCTCAACTGTAGCCATCGCTTCTTCGCAAAGTCCCCTGAAAAAGCCGTGTTTTTCGGGCAGTGGCACTCAGTAGGACCAAATGTACCTGAACAGTTGCTGTCAACTGCGGCGGCGATCATTTCCCATATCCGCATCCGTTCCATCGTATCACCACTGCCTCTTTTAGAGTGATTATAGAGACAAGGATGCTTCTTTACCTCGGCGATTAGCCTTGCGTTAAACGCCGGCTGGAACGACATTCCTGGAAAAGCTAGAAGTCACTTCAGAAAAGCTTAAACGCACGAAAACGGACGAAATCGTAGCACGAAGGACGAATTGGAATACGTAGGTCGGATTTGTAAAGGTGTTACTCAACGCTCGCACCGGAAACGGAAATCCTTCGTGCGCCGGAAAAGCCAACACCGGCTATCGCATTGCTCGGAATGACAGATTTTTTAGATTTCTGGCAGGAATGCCAGATTTCTTAGATTCTAGATAGGGTGGTATATACAAATTCCAGGCTGAGCAGTAAAGTTCAACGGAAAGGCCACCTCCTGCCTCGGGGATCCGAGCGACAGGGGGCCGCATTTGGTTGCGTTGGGAGGGGTCGTCTTTGTTTCTAAGAGAAATGTTTACGGGTCACTTGGTTCATGGTTGCTCACTTCTCACAATGTTTTCTGCGGTAGATACCCACCTCCTTCACTAACCCAACCGATTCCCGCGCAAAATCGTCGATGTATGTCACGGCGATGTGCAAGGCTAGGTTTTGACGCGTGTGCGAAGGAATGTACAATAAATTCACTTTTTTCATAACCTTTCGTTTTGGTTCGAATCACATTCACAATCACTAGAACGAAGGGTTTAGTGCCAGTGCTATTCTCAGCCAAATAATACACCCTTGGCAGAACTATTTTTCCTAAGATTCTCATTTTTCAGCGACCACCACATACTCAGCAAAAAGTGAAATTTATTAAAAAATTCGAAAAAAACTCGGGAAATTTAAGGCTCATATCAGGGCTGTTACTTTCCTCGTCTGACGTCATTACTTATTCAGCAACGTCGCAGGAAAATTTGTGCAACATGTGGGCTCCTGTGACTCTTTTCTCATCACCGTCTCTTTTTCCTCCTTCCTATGTCTTCCCTCTTATTTCCCCTCCATTCAAATGCTCGTCCAGAAGATGCTATGAGGAATACCTCCAAAGCGTCCCAGCGAGAGAATATACGTGGGTTCTCCCAGTAATGACCCACACTTACATTTTATATATACAAAACGAGAAGTAGTAAACATACCCCCTAGAAAAACAGGGCCAAGGGCTTGAAATTCTCCAACGACAAAGAACTTCACCAAATTTCAGTCCAAGATTTGCAGAATCAAAAAGAGACCCAAAAAGGTGAATTGTGGACATCAAATTTAAAAGGGACCACCGAAGTCGATTTTAGTCATGGGCAGTGGATTTCTTCGGATTAAAACTCTAACGTTTTCAGTTGCGACACAAATAGATGGAGGAAGAAAAAAAACCAAAAATTAAATAGCATTATTAAAACTCATCAAACAGGTGATTTAAAGAGATTCATTCAGATTTCTCTGTAACCCCGCCGAGTAAAATCTAAGGAACCGGTGTTTGCATGACGTCATTGGGCCTCTAGAACGCTATGATTCAGCCAGCCAGCCATAGGATTCCTGCCAAGGATGGCGAAAGTGTAAACAGAGCAACAACACCCAAATGAAAACTAAAAAGAGTAAGATTCTCATGACAAAGGTAAACGAAGAGATTTCTAGCAAGGACTTTTCTGTAAGAAAGGAGTAGCTCACTATGTAGAGGGGACCTATTAATGCACCTCGCCAACCCTAAGTTGAGGGTGGAGCCGCTGAGACCTGCGGATACAGACTATTACTTATTACTTGTCATAACCCCTTGCCATTAAAGGTTGATGAGCCCGCGGAAATTAAATCTGAAGCAGTTCGCTTGGTTGGGTTAATTTTGGGCTGGTCCCATCGGTCACTGCAAATGCCTCCTGTGAAATTCTGTAAACTTTTGCGATGCCAAGCAAAAGCACGATGTTCGTGCACACTTGACAAGAATGGACAGGTTTCACCAAGGTGAGACGTACAAGCTGACAGAATTTAGTGAAAGAAATAAGCCAAGTATAAACCCCCCCCCCTGATCCCCCTCCAAGCCCAACAGCGCTGGCCTGCCGGAGCAAACTCTCAAAGAAGCTAGCAGAACCTGTACAAAAGCCGAATAATCGTGCCCCTGTTCAGTACAATGACGCCGGCGGCTTCGGATGGTGACGAGTCAATGGCAGAATTGAAATGAGAGACTGGTGGATGACGCCAATCAATATTCCGTATAAGTCGGAAAATGGTGCGTGTGCTACGTCTGACCCAGGACGATTCCGGTTGGAGCGTTGGTTGGGGCTGTGCTGAGGCTGATCGGTCGTCTCCTCGTTACCCATACACTCTACACGGCCTATCGTTGCTGCGGCCTCCACCACGGTCGAGTAAGTCATCGACGATGCCAATTGCAACCCGTTCCGGGACATCTCCGCATAACGTTGCGCCTCATTTCTGAACGGGTTTCCGTTCTGGCCCTGTTCTGGTTACTTCCCCAACAGCAGCCAGCTATCCAGCCAGCCGACGTCGTCCGGATTCGACAACTAGAATGGGGACCGCTGAAGAGACATCAGAAACCATCGCCACAGCCCACTTGAAAGCTGTCGATGGATAAGAAGGGAGGGGAATCTCCTTAAATGATTGGGAGCCTTCTTCAGGAACAGGACTTATTCAGGGCCTAATGAGAGCTACAAAGCGTCCTGAAGACATCCCAAACGGGTCAATGATCAGAATAAAAGTAAACTACATAGGCGCCCAGATGGTTGGGGCGTAAATGGAAAGGAACCGGCGAGTGTCTGATCGTCGAATAGTCGGGACAGGGTTTATGAGACCACTCTCCGGTATATGGTGGTGACGGATAACTACTCCACGCATCCGCTTCAACTGTTCAGCATCCCACGGAATTCTTAACTCCCTAGGGCGTTACAAGCGACCCGT